AGTTATATTTTTAACAATGACCAAGAGTCTTTTTTGAAAACAAAAGACAATTTCAACAAAAATGAATCTTTTGTTACAGATTTTTCCTCGTGAAAACTTTGTAAACTTAATTTGTCAGAGCATAATTATCAAAATTAAAAACGTAGTTTAGTCCGAATAGACAACAAAAAATAGTAAAATTTGAAATATAAATTTATGTAAATATTATAATATAAAATATTAAAAATGATATTTTTTAAGTTATTAAAAATGATATTATTATAATATAATTATGTAATGTATACCTATACAATTTTTACTTGTACAATATAAATTACATAATTATAATATTCAGATATCAACAATTAAAAATGAGTTCGTCCGTATTTAACGGCATGAACCTAAATAGTGTCGTTGTATCGCGGGTTTTCGTTTACGAGCCTACTTTTTTTTTTAATATGAATATCGTACATACAAAATATGAATAATTTCAGTACAATACACCTTTATACCTATATACACTTATGCAACCTACGCAACATGTAAATCGAGACGAGTGAATTGCAAAAATCTGACACGTATATCAGCAAGATTTCGGGCCCACGAACCGTTTTCTCATTGCTTTATAATGGAAAAATTGTCAACTTGATATGATGCATTGTGGTACACAGAAAAATATATACGCAAAAAATTATTTTAACAACGATTTCAAAGATATGTTTCATTTTCTTGGCGGCGCAATAGCTTCGCCAATATGAAACACGCTGATATAAGCTATGATTTTGAAAATAAATCCGAGGAAAATCATTATCGTATTGTGTGAATCATGCAAGTATATCCTGCGCGAATAAATCAGATATAAATATAATAATTATTTAAACAAATAAATTTAAGTTAATAATATTTTCAAGTAATATTTAAAATATTGTTTTATATATTTAAAACATATTTTTTATTGTTAAAAAAAAAAGTATCTTTTTAGTTATCTTAAACTGATATTTTAACTGTGATAACTTCTTCAGGGATAAATTTATTAAAGTCGTAACAGAAACAGTATCCAATAAGTTGACTGTGCGAAAAAATTGTTCGTGTGTAAGAAATCTTATTTACATCCCCTTGGAACGACCTGCTATCACTATGCTTCAATCTGCTAATCCAGCTTGACAGAATTATTCAATTAGCTCTAGTCAGAAAAATATAAGGATCATGAATGTTGTAATTTATCTTTCAACAGATTGATTTTAAACGTCCATACAGCTTCTATCTTATTCAAATTATAATTAAATATTTTCTCTTACGTCACTTCTTCATTATTATGTAAATTTCTGATCAATATTGTGTCCTTATGAAAAGCCAATATATGCAATTTACATGTTATCATAATGTTTACAACATATCTTCTTACACTGGAAAATTTATATTGATTGGAAGCATGTAATATTCTGTCCTTTCATGTTATTTTACTGAAACTAGTATGGAAGTTTGATAAGCTACGGGAGCTCGTAAAATGGATGTTCGCCTTGAATTTTAATATTTATCGAAATCAAGCGACAGCATAGAAAACAAAAACAAGCTTTATAAAAAAATGATAGAAAAAAAACATTGTAAATCATATATCGCTACCGTGCTTTCGGCGTGATATTTTTGCGTTAGTTTGATAACGTATAAAATACATAAAAATTTTTTACAATTTTTTACAGTAATTCTCTTCAAGGCTGGATTGGCATGGCATATTCGACGCTAAAATCTTGAAATTATTTACAAACGCTTTCCTTACGACATTAATGGAATGAAAGAGCCGGCGAGGCATGTCTTAATTTCGGATCACCGTATAAGTGCATTATCGAGTTACTACCTTCCATGACTTTACACATTTGACTTTAACGATAAACTTTATCGAAACCTACTACGAGACGAACTCTACCCGTTAACTTTCTAATTAAATTGCAATTTATATCACATGATTGATTTTCTCACTATGTGTACATGTTATCGAACAAAATCGTATACATTCAATCGTTTCGTCAATCTAAAAGAAAATAACGTAATAACATGTATGACATTTTATCAATTTTTCACGATCATGTAAATTACTTTTATAAATATTGACGGATAGAAAGACTATACAAAGCAGAATATATATAAAGTGATAATATATGATAAATCATTTGTATCAAATGCTATTGCGTCAGGATTTCTCCTGACTTCACTATTTAATTAAATAATGTCGGCATAGCAAAATAAGTATTATAATAATTTTATCTTTCGCGTTTTTAAGAATTACACGATGTGCTATTTACGTATGATGATTAATTCTATAACATCATTCTTATTATATTCCTATTATCAAACAACATTCAAATTGTACAATTAGCGACACCGTAATACAAAACGTTCGAATATTGTATTATTATTCATATAAAAATCTCGAGATCTAGCAGAAAAATTTCCAGCAAATTTTGAATCCGTTTTTTCGTCAGCCTCGCCGGTTAAAAATTTTCACGGATCACAACATAAATAATTCACGAAGTTCTTAACTGTAAAACTGAGGGCAATGCCCTGTGGTTTTAACAATATAAACAACGAGAGTGGAATCGATAACGACGTTCTTTGGAAGATTAATTTTTCGTTGGTTTATTCGACGATTTCGCCTTTTAACGTAGCGGTCGCTCGCTGGATTACAATCGATAATTACCTCTGATCTATTCTTCTGTTTGATGAGGACCCGGAATTTTTCGATTGAGATATTTTCTTATTTCGTGCTACATCTCGTTAATGGCACTACCTCCTCTCGACTTCTGATTCCTGACTGGATGCTTCCGTCACCGGTGGCAAAGGATTGTCCACCGAAACTTGTCTGCACCCAAATTAATGAAAGAATTGTTTAAAAAGTAGGTAAACGCATCAAATGCATTTATGAAGCAAATTAGTCACTGATCCGATAAACGCATAATTTCTTGAATAAAAAATTATAAAAAGAGTGAAAAAGATCTACAAAGTCAAGTGTTGATACTTTTTACAAAATTATTTGAAATATCTCGAATATATAATATTTACGCACTTATAACGAAAACTCTTTTAAACGAATGTGCAAGGTTGCGTTCGAAAAATAAATTGCCTGTCGAATATTCTCACTATCAGAGTCTGCCTCGGCGAATTTGTTTCAGTGAACGAGATTCCATTAGAGTTTTATTGTACACAAACGGATGAGAGAATTTTATTGAAATGAGGAAATATCCAGGAGTTTCTTCCCCTAGCCGGATAGTTTACCTGTGCCAATTGTAGGAATCCGGCGCGGAATTGCTTCTCCCGGTCTGGTGGAAACGTTCTGCTTTCGCGTCTCTCATCGCGTCATGCCGCAGCGCGGAAGAGCCTCCTTCCGATCCTGCCGCCGACGATTCCGCACTGGCGATTTCCGCATCGTTGCCCGCCGTCCGCCCGAACCGCTTAGGCAGGAATGGATTCTGGAGAGCAGAAATAATTCATACTGTTATTTTCCAGTCTCACAACCCACTAATCCCGGAGGGACCTTTGGAAGTGCCGACTCTTTCTAAAGTTTGCAAGTCGACCATTCGCATTGGCGATAAAAATGCAAATTCACTTCAAACGGTCGATCTCCCGCACGATTGTCAATGCACACGATTGAGGGAAAACGGTGTTCTGAAGAATCGTGAGATCGATAGTGCTGTGAATTTGAATGAAAGAATCTGAGCTTCACGAGGTTCATTCAAACTAGTAATAAGTGTTTAATTAAAAATCAGTTGCCAAAAATTAATTCGCTGAATGCGTGAAATATTTATCTACATATAAAATTACATATTAAATTCGTATCATTGTAATTATAAAAAAAAAAATGGAACGAGACGTAACGATTTTTTTCGAACAATTTCATGTTCCGCGTTTGGAATAAATGTAAGTTGAAAGGATAATTTGCATTCTAATGCAATTTCAGGATTATTCTCTTTATGTCGGCTTTAACTTCAAGTTTAGGTAGTTAATACAAGGATTAGGTGAAGTTTTTCACTCACCTGAAAACTATGCTGCTTCAGCATCGTCTTGATGAGGACCAGAGTGCCTAGTTTCGTGACTTCCTCATCGGTGACAGTGACCGCTACGCGGCAATTATCGGTCTCGGTCGGCAGTGGTTCGGTTGCATGATTGGTCAGCCACGGGTGCCGCTTCATCTCCGGAATAACGATCCTATTTTGCGGCGACTTTTCCAGCATCCGCGCAATCAGACCGCGCAAGTCCGGAGATGCGAGATTCGAGGGAAACGTGAGCGGTTCGTTACGAACAACTTCCTGAATAGCTTTACTATCAGAAGCGCGCCAAGGAAGATCTCCGGTCACCAGCGCGTACAGCGTTACTCCCATCGACCACACATCGCAGGGCTAAAATCAGACATTTTTGTATCGCGGTCAATCTTCAGTCATTACATTGATGAATAGATAAATCTTGTAAGGCGGGATTTAAATAATTTGTCATTTTTATTTGAACTAGAACAATACCGGCGCGCGCTACGCGCGCGCACTTATTATAGTGACTTAATAATTATGAAATCTAAATATTTTAATAAAATTTTTTTTAATTTTAAATAACCGTCAAAATAACTTTCGCTTTCGAAGTATCAAACTGTCAGAATAATCGCGATAACCAATCAGCGTCGCGGAAAAGCGTCAACAATACTTTCGATACATTCGAGTATTAATTTTTCATGCCTTTTTTAAGAGTGAAAAATTATTAGAGAAAGTTGACATTTATTATTTAAAAGTTCAAAAGTCTGCCGTTATTTATTTTCAAATTCTGATCTTATTGTGTTACAAAATCGAATTCTCATCATGATTAAACAAATGATTCTAACTATAATTAAATGAAAATTGATAGGTTGTGATAAGAAGTTTATCAAGAGAAAAATGCGAACGTATATACATGAATGTGAGTGCATCTATCAGGTGTCATTATATAGTAATCGTTTATACAATACGATCGTAAATCCGAAATATATATTACGTGGGTCAATCGGATTCTCTTGATTATACTAAAAGGTCACGTTGTATAAAAGCACAGGGTTATTTGCCATTGCAATATTTCCTCGTTGTTGCTTTGTGCTGATTTTTGAAATAACAGCGCGATGTGTTTTACTTCGGAACGGAAAACAAGATTTTATAAAAACATAGCTCTTAATAGGAGATATACATGAAAAATCGTCCTTCTGTCTTGCTTTTAGAAATAATATTTGTTGATCGTTCTACAAATAGCTGTAAAACAAGGACAACATTATTTATTGAAAGTTTAGAAATTGTATAGCATTGTGATATTTATGATACAAATATCATATATTTTAATGCTTATAATAGATATGGAAATAAGAATTTCTGAATATTAACATTATTTAAGAAAATTCGATTTTTTAGCGATAATAAAAATAAGATCTTAAGATCTTCTAATTTAAAGAATGGTAAGTAAAAGATATGAATGCCTCAAATTTATGCTACAAGTTGTTCTACAAGTTAGCAATATAGTTATTTTACAATATTAATATTTTTATAAATACCTTATTAATTAGTATTCTCATTAATTTTATAATTATGCCACTTTCCCATATTAAATTGACACAAAATTAAAACACTGGAATAGTTATTCCCTGTAAATACTAATTAACAGTAACATAACATCAATCTTATAATTTTTTACTCAACAATATAATTGTTATATACAAGACACCTTATATTGCAATAATGTTGAAAATGGAAAAGTATAACATTGATGTAATGTTACTATTTATTATTTTGATTAGTGTTTATTGGGTTCTTTCTTCCTTTTTGATTGATTCAGTGGCTAGATGTTTTTATGTCCTGTTTATTGACAATGTATATTGTATATGTCAGCGTTGACATAAAAACTTAGTTACGACATCTATTAGAAACGCATCAAAACTTTTGCATTCATCCAATATTACGCCCTAAGCGTTAGGGTCTATTCAGATAAACTGCGTAAGCATGTGCATAAGAAAATGGATCTAAATCCATTTGCAGGCAAGTTCGCTGAATATATCATTAGTGTCGCAAACATGAGAATTCCTATGTAATGTGATTGGCGGAATTCGTAATCGTCATCTACTTTATTTCCCGCGCTGCGGCGCATTGTTACTACGTAGTCGATTTGTGATGCTCCGTCTTTTCGCATATTTATGCATCCTGAGCGCCTTTCGTGTACGCATACATATGTGTCGAGACAGTCGAATCTAACGACGGATGATAATCTTGGTGAGTAAATTGATCCGCGCGATCATGATTAAAGCATCTCCCGGTATTTGTAATCGTCGTCCGCCACTTCGCGCTTCGTCGAACTGACGATCGAACAATCCGCTTTCTTGGTATACGTCTCTCGAGTATTTCGATGAACATCGTGAGATTATTTACTATTCGGAGCAACACCACTCGGAGAAACATCGAAAAGCATCGAGAGGACCGTCGAGGGATTGCCGTGATAAATTAATCAAAAGTTATTTCGCTCGCTTATTTCTCGAGTAGCCGCGAGAAGTTAGCTGTGGTTATATGTTCAAATTTATCATTGCTTTCAGTTGATGCCGCACGACTTCAGTGAACAGTCGAACTACGATCGGTCTGCGTCAGTTTTCTCGCTCTTGATGAATTTCACGTGGGAATGAGTGTTACTAGTAAGTACTGTATTTAGCAACACGGGCAATTGTTTCGGTGTTTCAACGAGCTTGCGCGATCATGATTAAAACATTTCTCGGTATTCGTAGTCTGTTTTGCGTTGCATTGAGAAAGAGAGAGTGAGAGAGAATCAGCGCTCGAAAGATTACATTTTCTTTATACGCGTAATTTTCCAGCGAGCGATCTGCAGCGAACATCGCGAGTGTTACAACATTCAGAACACCGTCGAAAAACGTTGGGAAGAACCGAAAAGAACTCGAGGGATTGTTCGTGATAAATTAATTAAGACAGATTATTTCGTTTATTCATGATATTTGTCGAGGTACCACGCGAAGTCAGGCACGGATACATTATCGGGATTTGTTGTCTTCCAGTTGGTACCGCGCGGCGTTAGTAAGCAGTCGAATTACGATTATTCCGCGTCTGTTTACTCATTCTAGACAAATTCCACGTACAATGGGCTCGCGCGATCATGATTCTCGGTATTTGCTCGTTCGGTATTTATACTCTATTCTAGTTGTGCCGAATCGACATTTCAAAGGTTACGGTTTTTATACGTGTTTATTCGCTTGTTTGAGCTAGCGACCCTCGGCGAGCATCGCAACTGTTTTTCAACATTTAGAACAATATCGAAAAATATGGGAAAGCGAGAGGAGCATCGAGGGATCACTGATGGATTAATCACAGGTATTATTTCGCTCGCCTATGATACGCGCGCAACGGTTAGTGTTTGCGTGTGGCCCGACCGCCTGTGGCGTGTTACTTTTCGGAATTTTTACGTCGGTCGAGAATGCATCGTGTATGACAAACCGCGAATACTATATATCTATCGTATCAATAAATTGATACACTTGATTGCAAACGCACGAACGCGTATGTACGTGCCCATGATAACTGATATCAATCGCATCTCAACAAAAAATTCTTTTACAAATATTGGCGTTTTTTTTTTATTTTTAAATGCGATCAAATTCCGGAAATATTGAAACATTTACAATTTTAATGTGTTAATATATAAAAATAGTTGAGTGCACCGCTAATGCATTGAAATGTTTTTAGTAACATCGAAAAATCATCGTAACAGATAAATCACAAAACATGTGATTGTTTTGTAATATCCGAATATTTTATATTGCTGAATCATTTTTCCGTGTTGATGCGCGAAGTTAGGCGAGGTTACTAGGCATTGTCGAATTTATAATCGTTTCTTATGGTTAGTTTATTTTAGTACGTAACCGAATTGCGATGGCTTCGTGTTTTCGGTGCTTTGTTACTCATTTCAGGCGAATTCCACGTGTGAAGGTTAGTAGTATCGAATTTAACAACAAGCGAGTGTCACAGTATATAAATTGATGCGCGCTATCGTGATCAAAGCGTTTTCTTCGATATTCAAATTCGGCGTTTGTTCATTTTGCGTTTCATCGAACTGACGTTCGAAAAGTTCTATTTTCATCATACGCGTTGCATGTTGCGTGTTTCGCCGCATTTGTTTTTTTTTTTTTTCTTTTTACGAATATTGCGATTTAGTTATCTAGCATTGCAAAGCATCGAGGGAAGCATGAAAAAGCATGGAAGGACCACCGCAATGGATTAATCCAGATGACAAGTTATGTCATTCGCCTACAATATTCACGGAACAAACAGTGCTTGTAATTGTCTACGGCGTGCCGCTTTTTGGAATTTTCTCATCGGTCGAGAATGTGTCGCGCGTGAGAAATCGGGAGTGCCGATTATGTCTACGGGCGATCGCATCAATTCGCTCGATTGTAATCGGACGCGTTTGTCGATACCCATGACGTCAGTTGTGTTCCGTCGGAAGAATGTATTAATACGAATACGCAAGTTTTGTTTTATTTGCGATCGAGCGTCGGGAGTGCCGAGTAAGTTTGCGGGCGATCGTTAATGTTTTAATTAATACGCGAGTGTGAGTGCTAGTGTATTATTGGTGTATATTGAAGTGCTTCGAGGAATTATCGACGGAAAGAGATGAATCGAGACTGCTGTTCGCTGCTGATTGCTGTTCGCCTACATCCACGTAACGGTGAGTATTTAATAATTACTTTTTTAATTTTTCTGTCGTGTTATAGAATTTGTCTAATGTAAAATGAGAAGAAAATTGTTTTCCTTCCGTTTTGGTACGGAAATGACACTTGATAATTGTTAGCTAAAGTGCACCTCAATGCGCTGCAGCAGAATTAGCACCACAGCGTAGCGTAGTTACAAAGATGTTTCGTCTGTGGAAGTCACGTTGCACGAAACATTTCAATGGTGATAATCGCGAGTTTCGAGACGATGTCGTGCATAATTAAAGGAGCGATTAATTGAACAACGAGAAACGCCGTTATAAATGTTACAAAGACGCCGCGTAAATAGCGAGTTCTTAAACAGAGAGTTGAGCATAAACAATTATTTATTGTTTAATTTATTAAAACAGAGTGTCTTTAATTGAAGCAATTGATTGCCAATTCCCTATCTTCCAACTTATTTTCCGTAATACAAAATTACTATCTATTTTATTTTACAAAAATCTTTCTTCGTGCGCGTTGTGTCATCCGTAAAAAAATCTGTAAATGTCAATCTTCTATATTTATTAATTTATAAAGGAAATGTTTTCTTGTGTATAAAAAGCTTATGGGGATCCAGTCTCATAAAGATAAACGCGTCCGTGAATTTCTACACTATGACATTTAAAAAATATTCTCAGTCGGTTAAACACAGCGTAGATGACGCATAAATAATGTCTATCTGATCTTTAAAGATTGAGTTTTATACTATTTTTTTTATTTGTCTTACGTGTTTGTTCTCTTACTATTCCGTACGACCCGAATGTTTTTCTATGACGGTCTTCGAAGGAATACGAAGGTATGGAACAAAGCGTATATGCGAAACTATTCCGGGAAGTTTCGGAATTCGTAGTGCATCGCACGTTTATATTCCTTAATTGAACAAACTTGCTAACCGCCAAATTAGTTATACTTTTGTGAGAATTTCAGTAATGTGGAAATATGTGTACGCGGGTAAACGAACATAAGTTGAGCATTGCATGTGTTTATGTAATTCTTTACTGCACGCTTTTGCGACTAAGATAATGTTATCACGAAAGTGAATAAATAAAGTATATCTTTATATTGAGATAAAACTCCTAAAAATTGCGAAAAATTACAGACTTTATTTAATTTATATATTTAATTAAAACTTAACGTAATATATACTTGAGATTAACAAAATAAGATTTTCTTATCTATTTACATTTTAAACCTTTAGTTTTTATTGTAGAATTTTTTATCGTTATTTGTTTCTCATATATTATGTGTACATTTAATTTTTGCTGATATATTTTTTTTACATCAAATATTGATTTCTCTTTAAAAATCTATTTTTTTCTGTGTACATATTTAAGAATAGATATAAAAAAATTAAAAAAACTTCTAAAAATTACAGATTTTAAAACAAATTTCAGAGATGATTAAAAATTCTGTTTAAATTACAATAAATTAATGGATATTAAATATGTTCCATTAAAACATGTAAAATAGAAAGACTAGAATATTCATGGTGCGAAAAAGAGAGATGATATATTTTTATCGTGAAAATAGATTACTAATAAATGAGATTTAAGAATAATTTTTATGAAGGTAAAATAAAATTTTCGTTTAAATGCGAAAAGAAGCTGACGGTACAGTGCGAAAAATTATTATTGACGAACTAAAATAATATTATGCAAATAAGAAATAAAAGTTTAAGCTATTTAAAAGGTATTACAAGGAACGAATTTATTAATTTGAAGTCTTACTGGATATTAAATTAAACATGTTTTGTATAATTTATTTTGAAATGTAAAACAAATTAAAAGTAATAATTTAAATGCTATTTAAAATGTTATTCAATTTAAATATTATTTTATTAAATATTTTTAATGTTTTGTCAAAACAACTTTTATTAATTGTTATTAAATGTTTGGAAATAATTGACATTTGCAATTATTTGCAAAAATCTCTTTTTTTGAACATTAATAAATTTGTGCAAGTAATTAAATAAATAAGATATTATCATTAAAATACGAAACACTGCGAAACTCGATGGAGTTAACATTTCACGAAGCTGTAAATGTCTAAATTCAACTGAATGTGTCGTGCAATATAAATGTTGACTGACATTTCTGACAAACAGAAAAATATGTTATCAATGTTCAAATAATGTGAAAGGAAAAATATTTTTGTCAGAGTTTGAATGCCTAGAAAAACGTGCTCGCTTAGTTTCACACTTCGTAACATGCTTCGATTTTATTGTGCTTTTTCCGTTTTTCTTTTTTTTTCAAATATTTTTATTATATTTCTGATCTTTGGGATTTCAAGTGATTTTTTGCTCTCATTCAGGGATCACGAACAACTAGTCGATATTGTTGCAAGCTCGTGATTTCCTGTGTTGGCGTTTCTACGCAAGCACGCCGTCAGGTTGCTGGTGGTCATTTATTTCACCACGGCACATTGCGTCGGTTGGATTAAGCGTAATCGAGCGTGTAGATTCGCGGGTCGTGAGCCGCTTATTATAGATATCGCTTTTCCTCGACGACGACGTGGCGGAAATTCAAGCGATCGGCCGTGGTGTGTCGATAAGGTCACGCGATAGCAGTGGTCGCGGCGAAGTAATCTTGGAGATATATGGGGGCGGAATTATATAGTTGCCGGGATGCTAAATTATACATCTTTCCGTCTCTCTCAAATAACAACGTTATTAAAGCAGCCGGTCAGTATTAACTTTACGCCTGCTACTAACTAACTAGACGAGATTCGTATCGCTTTTCCTGCGGTAAAGCCCCGACGGGTTTTCCCACCTACGATCATGCACTTTGATTTATTTTATATACGCGCTATTTTCAACAAATATTATATGTACGCTCGCTGAGAAACTTCAGATCGCTATAATTAACGGGGAAGAAATAAAATATATAATTAAAAATTAGAAGTACGAAAAAAAACGTAGATACTAAATAACAGCAGGGTGAAAACGGATAAGAAAATCTTGATGATGATTATATTAAAGTTACAAACTGAGAGTTGGTATAGTCTAGGCAAAGTCTGCGTAAGGAATAACTGAACTGTGACCTTTTGTGATAATTGGAGATGCGCATAAAAGAGACATGGCAAAAAATAACGATTGACTCAAGTTGCTGCATAATACATCACATGTAAAAGAAAGATTTAAGCATTCTAATCTCGTAAGCTAGGGTTAAATCGGTCTCGTGGGATTAGTATCGGAAAACAGTAAATAAAGATAATGTATTATAATATTTTTCAATTATTTCTTGTTTCGAATTATTAGACAATGAGAAATTTTTAATGTCTTAATATTTTATCTTTCACAAAATCATCAAGCGATATATCTGTAAATTATAATTTGCACATATAAAATTCAATTGTTATACTTCGATTATTTTTTGCTGCAACCAATGTTCGTTTGCGTAAATTACATCCTATCGCGAAGCGTTGATTGAAAAAAAAGAGAAAAACCAAATAAAATATATAGTCGCTCAAGTTTGCCAATTACTATCTCCGCATTTCCCGGATATATGTACACTATGCGTGTGATTATATGTGTATTTTTTATTCTACATAAAATTTCAATATTGCAAAATTTTCCTCGGATATTGAAAATCGAATATCGAAATCGATTGACGTGCGGTGAAATTTTTATTCAAAAGAAATCTATTCAAAATTTGACAAAAAATTTATAATTTGAAATACGAAACGGTTTTTTTTTTTTTGAAAATATCCTGCATATTTTCGTTAAAATGACATTAAATATATTTCACGTTATTTTGTCTCTTCAATATTTCAACTTTCTGTATCTTCAAACCTCCTAAAATTCAGATTAGACCACAACGCTAGTTTTTGCTCGAACTGAAAGCCTGTGCACATGCAACCTAACGAACTCAACGCAGCTGCGACATGCAAATTGCCTCGTCGCTGCATCAGCCACTTTGCGCGGTTCTTTGTCGGTCCATCACATCGTACCGCTTTCGCGCACTCATTTCATATGGAAGCCTATTTGAAATGGGCGACGCGTATGGTACACGCGTTTAACGACTTCAATTTAAGAGCACCTAATCAGTTAACTTGAGAGCAGACGATCGAAAAATCTTTTTTACTATAATCCCGAATATATATATTACATATATATATATGTACGCGAAAGAGGTCCTTGGTCGAGAGGTTCTCTTGCAATGCATGTAGGTCAATCTGCACGTGTCGGCTCTGCGGTTCGAGGGGTCATTGCTTATAGGTGGAAGTGACGTGAAATAGTTGGTCAATTTATCGATTTTTAATCTCACGGAGTGAAATCGGTTGCTGGTTACGCGCTGTACGTGCATATTACTTGTTATTGTTTGGTCCTGTTCCACTGCGAATCCGATGCACCATCGGTATATTGCGAATGCATATTGCGAGAGTTTGGGTATTTCGAATAAGCGCGGTATGCATGTGAACGCTCGGAGATATTTGATTTCGGTAAAAGAGATAATAAAGGAAATAGAGAGATCAATACGATCAAAATATTAATATAATAAAAAAAAGAATTAAAACAAGTTGCATCGAAAAATACGGATTTTTCAAATAAAATTCTACGATGATAATTTTTAAATTACCGTGTTTTAATCTATCGTGATAACAGTCGCGCGATAACTTTCCAATTATCGTATCTGAACGTATTATGCGAGTAATAATTTACAGATTTAATAGTCTATATATATATAAACTTGTTTTTACGGCGCTATAGATTGTCTGGGGTGCACGTGAACGATATACGTGAGTCTATTTCATTATCATATGAATAGAACACTATAAATATACTTACCGGTCCTGCATATTCTGCATTAGCAATTGTTGTTTCGGGCGCCGCGAATGCCGGCGTGCCAGCTTGCCCCGTCAATAATTCTCCGGGTTCTCTTAATTCCGTGCTGACGCCCAGATCAGCGATTTTAATTCTATCGTCCCTGTCCACCAGCAAATTGCTTGGCTTTATGTCGCGATGTACTATTTTCTGATAATGCACTGCGGAAACAGTAATAACAGTAAATGTTATATAGACATTTTTAAACGATCATACGTGACAGTTTTTATTAGAATTTAATTTTAGAGAATATGAACTTTCTACTCTACAGAAAATAATTGCAATTATGAAAGATATTTCGCCATTATTAGAGAATTAACGAGTACTTGCTAATATAATATTTATCTCTTTTTCCGCAAAATTAGATTAGTATATAGCAATTTTAAGTCAATTATTATCTAAGCAGTTTTTTATGCTTTATTGAATAGTCTCTGAACATATACAACACACATACGCAACGGTATTGTGTAATATAAAATATACTGACACGGTTACAGAGATTACGTAATGTATGGTGACGCCTCTTCCGTCATTGATCCGCGATAAGCGTCGCTGTGATCCAGAATAGGCACCAAATACATTACGCAAATCCGTCTGTCGAGGGGATTTGCATACTATTATTTAATGCGCAAGTAATAAACGTGATGATATTGTGTACATCAAATATGGTTACATAGTGCAACATGTGATCCGATTAAAGAGTTTAAAACTTGAATTCTCTTTAAATATTTATTGAAAAACAAAAAATTAATCAAAAAGAATAAATTCTAAATCTCAATAACTGTCACTTAATTAGTGATAACGTATTTTACAATAGAGCAATCCATTTTAAAATAAGTGTGTGTACATTACATTTTAAAACTTTTATTGAAACTTTCATCTAGAGCCTTCTAAGTAACAATTTTCCAAGATGAAAGTTTATCTGTAAACTAATTCCTGTATGTGCGTATAGAATGTTTAATGACTTACAATATTCAACTCCCATGACGACGTCGCGGAAATAACGTCTGGCCGTTTCTTCTTGCAGCGGGTTGTTAGTGGGTATAACGAGGATCTCGCCCCTGTGCACTAGTTCGAAGACTAGGTAGAGATTATCCTTGTCAGGATGGTCGAGCACTTCTACTAGCTTTACAACATTGGGATGATCGAGTTTTTTCAGAATGGCGATTTCTCTGTAAACATTTGCCAAGGGATCGGCGCTCGTTCTACGTGGCGCCATCCTTCCAAATATCCCCGCTTTTTTCATCAATTTCCTTTTGCTCAGTATCTTCATGGCATAGTACGTACTGTCCTCCTCGTTGTGAACCTTTTTCACGACACCGAAAGAGCCCTGAAAACGCAAGCGAAGTGATGCATAAATAAAAGCGCGAAAGCGGATAAATGACACATTTGTGCTCTCATGTGACACCTGAATTTTTCAAAAATTTTTTTAGCGTGGAATTTTTGATTACTGTTGTTTAATTTAATTTTTAATTTTATGAAATTTATTGAAATTCTTAATAATTTGAAATTTAATGAAATTCTTAATAAATATATCAATCGATGTTTCTGAAAAGATTAAGCTTTATTCTTTTTCAATAATTTTAATTACACGATAAATGGTGTAAATTTGCAAAAATTCTACTCCAATAATTTATTTTAATTAAAATATTAAAGAAATTAATTGAGATCACGTTAACTACGTTAAATTTTATTTTAATAGTGATATTGATAGTGATTTGATATTTTTTATTTTTATTTTTATTACCGCATTTTACAATAAATCTATATTGAGATAATCTAAATATTCTTTGGAAATATTTTGCAAACTCTGTTTACGTTACTATAATTATTATATATTATATATGATTTACTTAATTATTTTGATATGAATAAAATATTCACTGAAATTCGCTCAAACATATCATTTTAATTGAAAATTAAAAGACTTATCAAATTCCGTATGAATCGTGTTTCAGAATTTTTCTCATGTTACATAAGTCTTCTGATCTTTTAATTTATTTTGTTAATTTCGATTATCAACAGGTTGCACAAATATTTCTCTTTGATTAGTCACAATTTAGCATAATTAATCCTAGAATGCAAATTATATGCAAAGAAGTAAAGTATCTCGAAAACAAGTTAAAGTTGAAGTTAAAATTATGTTTTTGAGTTGGCGGATGTTCTTTTTTTGTGGGAAATTTCTCGTTGATATAGATGAAAATTTATGTGGAATAGTTTTGACACTAATACGGAAAAAACATTATCAGGTAGTTTCTCGTGAAATGAACGCAATTTGCATACAGGAATCATGCTCTATCGACAATCTCGTAATTTTCTTCGCATCTTTTTACCTGCAACCCTTTTTGCGGTTCAACTGCGCCGTTATCACGATCCACTTTATATCGCTGCAGCGACCAAGTCGAAGGTCACTGGCGATGCTATCGGAACTAGGAGCATAATTTTATATTTCACAGCATAATCATCCTTGAAAGAAAGAGAGAGGGCGAGATAGAGAGAGAGCGCGCATATCCGGTCGTGTATGTTTATCTTGTGATTAATATAAGCGATGACAGCGAGATTTAGACAAATATCTTTAGCACGTAATTTAATCGTACATTCGCACTGAATATAGTTTTTTCGAGGTCGATTTTGCTGCATTTTTTATTATGAATTGCAGATTAGTTTTATCTACAGAATGAAAAAATATACAAGTTACGACGAATCGATGCTTTTATTTTTATGAGCACTTTTAATAGTTAAATCAGGTATCAAATCGCTTTTCAATTGTAATCGGTGTCGGTTGTCTCATTAGCATTAATTGAGTCATCCGTGAGACGAATTAGATCATTGCGTAGAAATAGCTCTTGATGATATGTAGCAATCAGTTTCTTTGCTTAAAATTCTTGAAAAATCTCTTGTAATTATACAGGAGGAGGGAAGTTGTCGTATCAACTCAGCCAAGGAGACTGATCGATATGTTAATACGCCGTTTATAAATATGCGATGGCAGCAATCTTGCGGTCCCGAGCGTGTGTCAGTGTCGCGGAGTTGAGCCGATTAAACGTCAAATCGGCATTAAACTCCATTCCGACTGACAGCTCTTACTTCGACGAGGAATTCAATCTCGAGTTCGAATGTAGTTTTAAGCGGCGCGATAAGGATAGAGAGATTGAATCGTGAACTTTACAAGTCTCTCTCTCTCTTCTCTCTCTCTCTCTCTCTCTCTCTCTCTCTCTCTCTCTCTCTTTCTCTGTCTCTCCGGACAAACAATCTCTGGAATTCCCAGCGTAAACCTCAAGAACGCGCGTTGTAAACTTCTCGTAGCTCGCACCTCCGCACTTTTCACAAGGCTGTAGCAAAGTGCAAAGTTATTGCGGCAGCTGTCTCGGTCTCTTTCTTGCATCTGTTTTGAATCCAATCACGCTACGCTGAGTGCGTAGGCATCGAAGCAAATCTCGTATTTTCATTTTCCAACGCGTTTCTGTGTGCCCTTTCATTCGAGGGGAATGTTCGTTCATTGAAAAACGGAACTTGGCGTTCTTCTAAAACACGACTTTTAACCTTTCTGTTTCTCACTGTGGTATGATGATTGTAAAATTTATTCAGAATTTTTTTGTTATCTGTAATTTTTGCGCGAGAACGGTTAAGCGTTTTTATTTAAACCATCGTTCGAATTCCCGTTTAATCAATTGAAAAATTAGCGGAAAAGAAATCGAGATAGAAGATAAATATATACATAGACCGTGAAGAGAAGAACTGAATTGATTAGATAAGAGCCGTAGAGCCAAACAAAATCAGCGGACTAATGTGATAGAGTGGGCGAAAAAATTTTCGATCTATTTATTCCGTAAATACACTGGCAATTATAATGAATGAGTGGAGATAAGCGCGCGCGGGCGAAAGCGGCGACGATTTTAAAATTTTCTGCGTCCCTTGAATTTCCGTTCCTGTGGGCAATATTGCGTTTCCCAGCGCGATATAACGTGATTATCGACAATAATCCGTAATTACGCGGCTGTTAATTACTTCTTAACAGGTATGAAGGACGGACGGGAGTGGAAATTGCTGGAAATGTGATGACTCGCGGTGCGAGTTATTGGTTATCGAGGAAGCATTCGTGTTCGATATCGATAATCATATCATTCCCCTGTTTGATACGTGAGCGCCACGAAATGGTTTCGCCCTTCAACGAGAGGGATATGTTGATCCTCTTATCAACGAATACAGCTTGATTGTTGAAATGTCGCGGACATAATTGGAAAGGCTTTGGACTTCCGTAATATACCTAAACTATTCACCGCGAAATTGGCTCAATACGAGATATCTGCAATATTTTTCGCCTGGAGCAGACTAAAAAGATTCTCTATACACAGAGATCTCTAATCGCTATTTGTGAAATGTATCTAACCGTTGTGGGATTTGTACATTTGCATTGATAATTGAAAAATAGCTCAGTTTATCATTCAGTAAATAAGTTTATATACGATATATAAATAAATATTCCAATTTTTCACGTGTAGATTCGTTCAGATTCGAAATTGAATTTTTTCCAATGTAATTGTAGGAACTTTGACAATTTTGCAGGGGACAAATATAAAACCTAATCATTTTTGAATTGAATTTTTTAAGCGGATTTTAGCGAAATTCGCTCTTACCTTTCCGATTTCATCCAACACTTTGTATTGATTCAGATGTTGGCTGTCCTGCTGACTATCGATAAAACCGCATATGCTAGCTCCAACGGAACGCTCCCTGTTAAGCGTTCTGTTGCGGTTCCTGGGCGATCCTTGAGGGCTGCCGTACGGAGAATACGGATAGCGAGGATAAATAGGTCTGTCGGTGACATTACTGGCGACGTTCCCGACCAGTCGTTGGCTCGGTCCCGCTTCGCTGGGCAAGGACGATTTCCTTGTGTCTGCTATTCGACTACTATCCACGGCGATGGTAGCTGCCACACTCGTATTCTGCGCCTTCTTACAATTCGAGTCTTTCAATCCGGTGTCGACTTTCTCGATATTCGCTGTCTTTTGGACTTTAGCCACTTCGATCAGTCTCGGCATATTTTCGGCGCTTTCGTTGCTTCTCACTCGCCTCGTACCCTCCTGCGGCTCCTCGGCTAGAAGAGTATTCTCCCTGTCTTGCAACATTTTATTTTTCTTCATACTTTCTTGCACATCCTTGCAACCCTCCGCATCCACTGAGCATAGATGATCCTTTGCGCGCGTCAGTTTCATTTTGGCTGAATAAATATTAGCAAGAGTGAAAATCCGGTAAAACTTATTTCAGAGAAAATCGATTTTCTGTCGTTACTGTTTATTTTCAATTAAGTAATAAAATATAAAAAATATTCGATTGTGCTAAAGTGGCCGTGTCAGCTTAATAGACGTAAATTTCATGGTTTTTCCTCCGAGTTAAGAAAGTTTTTAGAAAAAATATTATTGAAATGTGATAGTAATTTACATCAGCGATTTTCCGCGTTAAAGTGTTATATCTAATAAGTTTTTCGCTTACAATATTTTTCCGGAGGACTCTTCAATTACTCTGTCCCTCCGTTTTCAAGGGTCGCCCGATCCAATTTGAAAATCTAACTACGGTGATATTAAAGACCACCGAGTCTCAGATCGCACTGATATAGAGACGCAATTTACTCACCGACGCCTCCCACCATCTCGACGACGGTATCTTGCTGAACCAAGGTTTCTTCCCTGAGGACCTCCTTCACCTCCTTGATGTTAGGCATGTCGAGGCCGGAGCCTGACACCTTCCTGTGTATTTCCGTCGTCGGCATTCTCTCCCCCGATGTACCTGTGACCGGCACCTTCTCGTCAATGCTCTCTTCCACTCTACCGACGAGATTCTTGATCGAGGCTCTCGATCTCGATCTGCACCTCTCTTTCAGCAAGGGTGACAGATCCTGCTGTTGCGCGTTGTCGCCGCTCGTCGTTGAACTTCTTCTATTATTATCGTCGAAACTGCCCCCGTAACCGCTGCTCTGTCTTCGAGGCACATCCGTGTCGGCCGGCTTCAGAATGTTCGGCGTCCCTTCCCCCTCCTCGAGGTACAGCGCGCTGTCCTTGCGTACTTCCTGGATGTACTCCTCCGGGCTCGACACTTTAGACGGACCAGGCGTATCCGTCAATAATTGCTCGGTATCGGAAAGTGAAATATTTGTTTCTTTGTCGGTGAATCGGAAGGAGAGGGGTGATCGACCGCGGAGCGTCTGAAAGAAAGGCGAAAACAAATCTTCGTAATTATGCGCTGTATAGACACTTGAAGATTTTTGATCGCAGAAACGTACAAAAATTAAAGAAACTATTCTTTCTTACAAAAATTATTACGTTATAGGCTCTGATAAAATATAAAATCGAAATGAAATTGTGAGTTATGAGACCAAACACTGGATATTTGTACAAAAGTTTCTTTATTTCTTTGTGTCATGACAAACGTTGTTCTCGGTTGTTTTTTCTTAAACAAGAGTATTTTATGATGAAGCTGCTCAAAGAGAAATGTCGCAGCTGTTTGCCAGCTTTTGTCATGATTTTTCTGTACTGGCAACTTTTGTTACTAACAATGCGCACAATGCTTTCGTGATGATGAATAATATTAGATACTTCAAACATGAGGTCGTATCTCATATACCATTTTTATGTGTAAAATATATAACATTTTTTAATTAAAGCACTATCGGTCTCGTTACTGCGTCATCGTGTAAAAGTGCAAGCGATCGCTATGACTGAACGACGAAATGTCAGACAGCCAACGCGCCGTACCGGATTATCGTTTATCGAGATAATCGGTGCGATATCTGACGCCATAAAATAATCACGGAACGGGAGAAAGCGCCCGCCGACACGCGCGCGATTAAATCTCTTCAAAACCGCCAGGAACGACATATAAATAGAGCTTTGACGACGTGGATGAAGTCTCGTGTGACCCGATGCACGAACGGTTCGTTTATCGGCTTGCGTCGTGATGATAACGAAGCACGTCGAAATGCCGATAAGTCAAACCCCAGAGACAGGAATAAATAACGACTCCGGTGCTCTTTAAACGACCTCGCCTGCGGAAAGATTTGCAAAGTGACGTTTCCAGATTCGTATCTTTGCTTTTGTCGCGCGCGGCAAACAGTATTTTGAATATTATTTTCTATAGTGATAGCACCGATGAAAAATATTATAAATGTAAAACTGTACATTGAAAAGAATTATTTGTACAATAGTTTCCTTCCTTCCTGAAGTTTTTGTCGTCACACATAATAGGAACAGAATATTAAATATCAAACTACATGGAATTATAATATTTTTTCTACTGATAAAATAGAATTGAAAAATGCTTGTAATAAAAATGGCTCACATAGTATATTGTTATATATTTCAATATCGAATCAAATTTTAACGATTTTTTTCTCAATTTATAATATTTGACAATGCTGACTAATATCATATATGCTTTCATGTAAAACAATTCTCTTGATATCTGTACAAATATTGAAGTAGTAATCATTATAATTACCACAAAGAGAAATGCGAGACCGTTGTTGATACTCTTTATACGTTATCGCGTAAAATCATGGGTGGAGTAAGCATCGCAGCACAAGTATTGCAGTTGAAATCGTGCTAATAATCGATTTGATGTATAGTAAATGCGGTAGATTTGTCAATTCCGTATACTGTCGCGTAAAACCACTCCTAAAGTCAATAGCTGCACGAACGTGGTATATTTATAGCTAAGGTAATCGCCTAACATCAAATCGATTCTGCGGAGGCGTCATCCTCATTAAATTCCGAGTTGTGCGGAATTGTGTAAACACGTGCTTGTTCGCGTATAGGGACGAGCAATCTGCAATTGAGATTCGATGACTCGTGGCCAAACGTGGTTCAAACGTAAAAATATGAAATTTAAATTGAATCCGTGGCCCTCAAGATAAAGCACAGCGCAGAGAGGAAGAAATAAGATGGTTGACACGTGTAGGATGAGATCACTTTTTTCGACACAACGGCGATTGGCTCTTTCCTTATTCATAAAAATTCATATACCTTCCTGACCGGGAATATTTTTTCCATTATAAGTCAGTTCCATTGAAGTCGGTGCAAAGTTGGGGCGCGTTTAAATAAAACATTTTAATTGATTTAATAAAACATTTTAACTTTAATGGAGTCCACGCTGATCATTAAATCTGCTTTTAAATCATGGAATTATTTTGCAAATTGAAGACAAATTAAACAACAAATTATATCTTTGTAAAGATTCATGTCTGAGAAGTGTCTTGACTACAAAAGTAAAATTTATAACTCTTGGAACTTTGCACGCAAAGCATAATTCATATAGTGGTATTATATCGATCGATATACATTCTATTTATTATTATAAATCAGTACTAACCAATAAATCAACGAGTAGATACATTTGGTATAATATTAACCATTAATCATTTCCTGAACAAGAATTGCGTGACTATCATTTCGCAAGGATTAAACCTTTTGTTTGCGTGACGATACAACCTGTCAGAACTTCACTTTGCTTCAAAGAGGAGCATGCTCTATAATACTGCTACGTTCACATTGTAAGCATTTTTCTAGAGCGTAAAAGTCGACTAAAGCATCGATAATATGCGGTATTCCATTTTTCATTTTTAGTAGATGATAGAATAATGAAAGGCGTAACGTTATACTTCGTGGCACGCGAGGCGCCGCTTGCAGTCGCCCGATGCACGTAGGGATTGAAGTGCAATTCGACACGAAGTCGGTATGCGGATCAATTGTACGGTCCAAAGTAGGCCAATGAATGCAATAGCGAGATGCGCAAGATCCGCATTCGTCGCCGTTCGGGCAAAGTTCCATTAAAGCCAAAACGACCCCTCTATGCTAGGGTTCGATCAATGGCACAAACGAGGTGCAAACTAGCGACTTCCTAATAAGAATTGCAAAATAACATTCCCGATTCTGTCAATTTTACAATCATATATTAAACAAATTGTGCAACAATAAAGAATAAAGAAATAATTAAATTAGACATTGCATCTCTGCGTGAGATATAAACACGCGATAAAAATTTTTAAACTTTAAAGTAATTTAAATGAAGTAAAATAACAAAAAACTTATTAGATTTAGTTTTGTATTAAAATAGATATTTGTGTAAATATTTACAATTATTTACTAATTATTATATTTATTATTACTTTTATTTTCACAGATTTATGCTTCCTTTTTTTTATTTCAAAGTTAATATAGCGGAGAGCTAATATAGTCTCAAAGTTGTAAGGATGATTCTAAAGTCTAAAATTGGCTTGAGGATCTAATTAGGGAAACAGTTGTTCCAAATTCACCGCAATTAGGCGTTTCCCTGCGAGATTGAACTCTACTGCGGTGTAGTGTTCTTCTATGATTTGCCAACACGAGCGTATCGGGAATAGTTGCGCGCATTATCGCTTACAAATACATCGAATAAGGTTTCGCGTAAACCCACATCAAACTATTTCTGCATTATCCGCGCACACAATTCACAGAATTGCACGCTGTAATTTTAAACGCTCCCTTAATTAATTATAACTTTGATGTTTGAATATCAATTATCTCATCATAACGAATGGTGGTTTTAATTATTGATGCAAATTTGACATCAACAGATAAATTGATCGTTAATAGTAATGATGTTTCAATTAGATGTGATAGTTTTCCAGACCTATAGTATTTTTTGTTGACGCAAAACATCTTATTTTCGTAATTCTGTGATACTTGCATTTGCATCTTTATATTGGCAACAAATCGGCATGATAAATTTACCTAAATTTAAATTTGTAAATTTTTATCTTAATAGTATTTACGTATTATTAATCTTTCCTCGATACTCTAAGGAGTATGCAGTAATTGTTGTTAGCGGTAATTTTAGCAATTATAAAAATGCATGCGCTATCATGTAAGAAATTGCATGATATTGCAATAAAACCTGACAGATGTTTACGCGCGAGGAGATGCGTGTCATCCAAGGAATGTGCATCGAGAAAATTGCAAGCTGCCACGAACGTACCTGTTTGATGCTCAAGTTCAAACGCTGTAAACCGCGTATGTAAGACGAAGTCTCGCGAATGTCAGAAACTCTAC